TTTCATATGTACATAATTAACCCGACGTTCTTACGGTGAAGGAAAACATTGTAATGCCTGCACATATCGGCGAAGAAATTCAAAGACATGTGTGAAGTCAACCAACCCGCAGTTGGCCAGCGTGGTTGACTATGGCCCAGTCACCCCATGTTAGGGTAGGCTCCGATCCCCTCGATGGGGACGTATAGTGAGCTGGTGATGGTGTGATGGTAAATTGTCAAGAGCTTACTCGATTTTCTCTTTAAAACCAGTAATTTTATCTCATTACAATTCATAGTTAAATTGTTTATTACGTGAAACATTTTCAAATACTGCTCTAAAATATTAAAAAAAAAACATGTAAGTTAGTCCGGTGTCCGAAACTAGTCGGTGCTACCATCAGAAGATCTTGTCTAATTAATTAGTTCTTTTTGACCGACTTCCCAAAAGGAGGTACTCAATTCGTCTGTATGTTTTTTGAATACCTAGGTTTGCCATGTAGACATCACCTAGAAATATTAAGTCCTCTTGTAGGAAAGGTAGCATAATAAATAGCTTACGATTAGCAGAGCACTAAGCAGTTGATGATATAAACATAGTGTTTCGGTATTTCTAGAACGTTCTAGAACTTCAGAGTAGACTCAAGAATGGGAAACATTCTATAGCTACATAAAATAAGTACTGTTAAGAACAAAATTAGTACCGTACTGTAGAATTGGCGCAACACTAGATTATCGGCATAAACGTCACATCCCTAGCTGACAGCTGTCAATGTCACTAGAAGTATGGATATTGGCGCGCAACTTGAGTCTTGACGAGAAGTATTGCTCTGAGTTAAAAGCGACAGTATCAATTAAATAAGTTGTCTAAAAGTACTGACCGTGATATTCTGGGCTGCTTTAAACTTGTCGTGTATAATCTGGCATATCGTGATGCTTCGTTGACTTTTGCTGCTTAAGATATTGTTGAGGATGTCCGGCACCCACATGTACAGACCGCTCGATCTAGAACATTAACCGACAAAATTAAATCGCTATTACTTGTTAGCTAGTTGTTATTACCACGGAGTCAACTTCATTTTTTTTTTATAACATAAGGTGGCAAACGAGCAACCGCCAAAATGGCGAAGCAACCGCTGCAACCGCTGGTTATCCGACGGAGGAGTAGAAGCACATAAAGAGGATATTTCCCCTTCCAATGCATCTCCTCCATCGTCAAATCCATTTCTCCTTCCCACCCCCTCATAAGAAAAGGGCGGTAAAGAGAAAGGGACTTAAATTAGGCCTCTGGCACCACACTCATCAGACGAAACACGGCATTGGTTCCATTTCACTCCTGCCTTGTGTGTGGTCGTGGTATTACACCGGGCGTGCCGACCCATTCGTGCTAAGATGGTAAAACGGGCACTACCACTGTTAAAACTGAATAAGTCCGGTTATAAAATTCCGTCATAATGGGTCAACACTGAAAAGAGGTTAGTTAAATCAATACATTTTAAAGGATTGCTTAAATGATTCTGAGTGCAATGTTGACTTATTGGATTTGTTCAGTTAGTGTAAAAAGACTGACCTTTTATTTTTATCTTAGATACGGTTAACGGGATGTTTTTCAAACCAACGGCCTTTTACACTTTAAATAATTATAGTAATAAATTGTCATCTATTGAGTTATTATTATGTACTTTCTTAACAAGATTATTATTTATTATTACGGCATCGTCGAGGTTGCGTTAGTTATTGTGGTACTTGTAAGGTAAACGTCCTCGTTATGGACATGCGCTTTTTTTCATTTTATTTGAATGCACACGTCAAATATACAATAAATTGCGTCATTATTTGATACCGTTGCCGTATTAAACTGTAAAGAATTTATTTATAAATTCGACGTAAATATTCAATTAATAAAAATAACAAATTATTATTTGGAACATGCAAAGCTTTGAGGTCAGTTTAAATAATCATTTAAATAAAACTTGTTATTGTAATTGACTGGTTTTCTACTAAAGCTTGTAAATATATTGTCTTACAAAACAAAACATTATAGAATTGTCTGCACAGTAAACATATAGTTAGGTACAGTCAGCTAAACAAATATGTACACATTTTAATAACTTGTATACTTCTGTTTCTATACGTATGCTTCCTAACATGTACACATGCTGTAGACCGACTTGTGCATATGTATCTTTTTTTGTTTTAGCAGGTGATTCTTAATCATACTAATATTATAAATGCGAAAATTTAGATGGATAGATTGCTGGATAGATGGATGTTTGTTAGAGTTTGTAGCCTAAACGGCTGAACTGATTTCGATGAAATTTGGTACAGATGTAGAGGATAGTCTGAAAAAACTCACTATTTATTATTTATTAATTCCACACGGATGGAGTCGTAGGCGAAAGCTAGTTTACTAATATTTTTTAACCATTACAACTAAACACTACGCTGGTGCCAGGATATAGTTTACGACAATAGTTTTAAACTGAAGATCGATGTTTTTTTTTAAAAGAGTTATAATGAATACAAGTTATTGCAGCTGACTGTACAGAGATATGTTGGATGTGAAAGTTCCGACAATGTATACTAGTAAGGTGTAACTTACAGCATAAATACGGCAAACATGGAGACGTGTGAGATGAGCACGCAGCGCGCCAGCGGCGGCCGCACCATCAGCGAGATGTTCCGCAGCGCCTCACCGAACCCGCTGCGACAAGACTCCGCTGTACTCGATGTTATCTTACTCACCTAGCAAAATATACAATTTCAGTCTCAATTTCCAAGAATATCTCCCGTTTTGCTTGTTTGTCTGTCGTTCTTTACTTATCTATCACAAACAAATCTGATACATGACACAGGTAGATTATATAATTCCGTCGTTTTTACAGCGGCAGCGTTTCACACAAAGTCAGCGATTAATAAAATGCCACAGGCAAATCATATTTTACCGCGCCATTTTATATTATGCCTAGACTCGATTGCCGATTAAAGCACCGTTTATGCCTAGACTTTATAATAAGAATTTAGTTTTTGTGTTGATTAAAACATAGACGGTGTTAAGTAGTGGTTTCAAAAATTAAAGCGAGTCAACAGAAATTTTAAGATAGTAAACACTAACGGGAAAGGAGTCAGCGGGTTTTCCGTGGTTCCAAGCATACATGCGGGCGAGGATCGGCAACGCAGCTTCAGGACCTTTGGCGGCGAGCACGTGCCGCGGGGACTCCGGCAGCGAGATCAGCGCTGCGCTCGCAACCAGCGCCGGCAGACCCCAGAACCACATGAAGACGCGCCACGGCCCTATCGTCATCCAGCCCCACTGCCAGGTCCACTCGCCGGGGATGATCAGCCACGCGAGACCTTAGTCACAAAACGATTACTACAATGCTCATCTTTTCACTTACTGATTATAACTTTTCACACACATATACACAACTTCATACACATGCCTACACGCGAAACACACATTTAAGTACTTACTTTTAAAAAAAATCTTTTATTTATTAGTTAGCTTTTGTCCGTGACTCCGTCGGCGTGGAATCAAAAGGAACAAACGTGAGTAGCGTATATGTTCTTCCAGACTATCCTCTACATCTATACCAAATTTAATCGGAATCCGTTCAGCAGTTTAGACTACAAACTCTAACAAACATCCATCCATCTAAACTTTCGCATATATAATATTAAAGTATGATTAATTGTTAAGTAGTTACTTTATCTCATGTTTTGTGAATTCTGTGAATATTAAGTGACTAAGTGATTAAGTAATATTACAATATTGGCTACTTTAATACAGGGAACTTTAGTAAAGAAGGCATGGATGAATAATTAAAAAGAGACTTAAAAAAACAATTATTGTGCATCTATCCAGTAAATTATATGTAATATTGAGAATTTGAATAAATGTAGGAAGTAAATAGGGTGCATTTACGGTTCATAACGGTTTAGGAACGGACAACAGTCAGTTGTCTTTTTGGGTTTTGATGTACAAATTTAATATTAAAACATATTACGACTTAATTATTTCAAAATCTTTGTAATCGTTGATCTTTGTAAAAGATAAGACCCATGACCTCGCTTTATTACACAACTAAAGTCATGGGTCATTGTGTTATCTGAACTGTATCATAAGTCCATATAGTATTAGTGACGTCACAGTTCAATTGTCAACCTTTATCAATAATACGCACCCGATTCATAGACAAAATAATAACAATATAAATAAGTTACAAATCTAAACTATTATAATAAAGCGTAAACACACACTTCTTTGTTGCCTAAGATCTCAGCAATTACAGCATATTTTTGTTTATTTTTTTTAATAAAGAGCCCTACACTTACGTCACGCTTTAGGCTATATATTTTCACGCCATTAAACTTACTGAACTTAGTTGTTATAGAAGCTTTTGATTTTTTACAGTGTGAAATGTAAACAGTAAAATACAGTTTTATATGCCAAGCGGACGATGCCGCACGGGACCAGTTACTTAGTATTATATTTGAACTAGCTGTTGCCCGAGACTTCGTCCGCGTGGTATTCGAAATCATACCAACTACATAGATAACAAAAAGCTTAATATCCCTCGGGAACCGGACATTTCTCGGGGATGAACCTTATCCCATGTGTACTCCAGACTTTGTTTTATATCTGTGCCAAATTTAAATAAGATATATTGAACCGTTGCAGAATTATCGAGTAAACATTAAAAACTAAACTAATGAATCCCACGGGAACCGTAACTATTCCCGGGATAAAAAAGCCTATGCGTTCTTCCAGACTATGCTCTAAACCTGTGCCAAATTTCATGGAGATCTGTTCAGCCATTTAGGCTATAAACGCTAACAAACATCCATCCATCTATCGTAACTTTCGCATTTATAATATTCATATGATATATATATATATATATACAACTGCAAACTGCAATAATAAATAAATTTACATATAAAAATAATACCAATGTCCTTTGGTTTTACGGATTACAGTCGATGTTAATGTGATCATTTTTAATTATTAGATTATTAAACGCATAAATATTTAAATCCAATCGATAATTCCTGAGATAAGCGCAAACTCTTCCGTTTTAGTATAATGTATTTCAAATAATAATATCCGCGCTATTGTCCTCGATCTGTCTAAAATCGGTAGAAAAGTATAGCCAAAATAATTGCATAAACAAGTTTAAAGTCGAGAGATTTAGTTTTAAAATAAATATTAATCTATACATATAATAAAATTGCAAATTTCGGAAAGACAATGTATTTGCATTGCTGATAACGAAAATCGCATTTAAATTTTTTTTAATCTATCTGTGTGTACGCAAGACGCGTTTATTTCGAGTAATCTTCAAAACGGCTGGGCCGATTTGGACCGAACTTTCACTGAAGGGTAGCTGACATAAACGGGCATTTTATAGGCTATGTTATCTTATCAGCTAGTCGAACAAATACATAACTTTATAGCGTGGCCAGAAAAATTTAAATCCTGTCAGGTGAATGCCACATTCGTCTTCATTACATAACCTTTAATTACGCGAGGTTTTATGTTTTTTTTTCCATTGTATGTTTAATATTCCTGGTCTAATAATACAGTACAGTGTGACTATGAACAAAGAATAAATTATTAACTGCTTTAAGATTAAATCCGTGTACCATTTCGTTGTAAATTCGTTAATATGCAATATTATAATTAGATACACTTTGTTTTAGACAGGACAAGGTTTATTAATGGATTTATTAAGTAATTATCCAGTTTAATTCTAAATAAAAATATTTTAAAACGAAAGAGGAAAGATATTAAAACAAAAATATCTGCTTCATGACGCATTTCCTTATTAAAATTTAATTAAATTCAACATTGTCACATATTTAGTGATATTTCAATAATTTATTAATCTGTTGATCAATACAAAAAGTAATGCAAATAGAATAAAACGATTTTTTTGTTTCATCAAATCTTTGACTTTGAAGAGAAAGGACATGTGAAGCTCGCGCATTTATTATCTCCGAAACGATTTCGACGGGGCTTTCACTGAAGGGCAGGATAGATATATTATAGACTACTTTTTTTTAATTCCGCGCTGTTAAAATGGCGTAACTGGTTGTCCAAATTTGCGCTACGAAGTTTGCGGGTGACAGCTCGTTAAGAATAATAAAAACTTAACCTGTTCGTGTGCACTCGTGGATGCGTATAATAATGTCAGTATGCGTTCATAAAATGTGTCAACGTGATATGCAAGTCTTTATCTTAACGCAAACTGGGCGAATTTATTTGCTACGTCAGTTAATTGCGTAGTCCATTACTGAACAGTCAAAGGTCAGATGATACGATTAACATAATCTAGTAACTAAATATAAAATTCCAAAGCTTTCAAATTTAAGTCCTAAGGTACATTTCGGCAACAATGGGCAGGAAATGTACCGCAAGGGGAGACATCGTCACTGCGTTTTACTCTAAAACTAGCTGTCATGAAAAAAAAAAACAAATTATACCCTATATTACTCAGTGATAGTGTAGTTTTATAATGGCGAAAGGATTTTTAAAATCGGCCCCGTATTTTTTGATTTATTTAAATACATACAAAAATACAAATCATTCCTCTTAATAATATTAGTATAGAAGTATAAATTGACAATTGCAGTCAGCCACATCCTGCGACCACAGATTAGGACTCACCTAAGTTTGGTATAAACATAAAAAGTTACCTGGCAATATAATAAATGAGAAGGATATGAACGCGGAGCCCCATGCGATGGCTGCAGCTCTTCGGGACTTGATGTGCATCTCGCCTAAGTACGCGTAAACTGTCGCACTAGACGCGGATACACTGCAACAAATAATACATCGGTTATAGCAAAACCGAGTGTAATTCAACGCCACAACAGACAAGCAATACTATATTGGATATTAAAACTTTACATTCCCGAGCTTCACTAACAGATAGCCTTTTTATACATATAATCTTGAATCGCTCTTTATTTCCACCGTAAGAAAAAAAGTTAAGTATTAAACTATTCAATCAACCTGTGCGCTCAAAGCACAGGGCATTCTTTAATGTGTAACAGCGAGCATATATAAAATTTGAATAGCATTATACGTACAGACATCCCGTTAATATCCTAAGAATCAGTATAGTCCAGACATCAGTCGCAAAGGAAGACGCGAGCGAGAACGCGACGGACGCCAGCATGGCCGGTGTCATCACCGCGCGTCGCCCGTACCGGTCGCCTAGGAAACCCCATAGGAACGACGTACTCACTATACCTGGACACAATACAATACAAACCTTATCACAAGTGACATAAAGTTTAAATTAAAAATACGATTGATTATTTTTTAAGCCAGAATTAAAAGTCCCTTTAAACCTAATTTTGAATTATTGAAATATGCGTAAAACTTATTTTTAAAGTCTGTAGGACTAGGTCTCAAGTTTTTCGATACAATTGTTGTAAAAATGAAATGTTGAAAAATGTTTTTCGCTTGCAACAAAGATTTCCGAAGTTATTTGCTTTAAAACGGACTCTTAAATAGTAATTAAATATCTACTCTAAGTGGGTAATTATGCTAAATATGTTTATATTATTGTAAGTTCACGGTATCAGTATCTTATCAGATAATTAACAATGTAAATAAATAACAAGCATTATCATAATAGGAATAAAATGTAAGGGCAAAATTCTTATATTTATTATACAACGATTGTAAAAAATTGTAAGAGCCGTGGAACATTGCACACGCCAGCCGCGTAATTTATTTCCACTGGCACGACTGCAAATGCTATCCAACAAAACCAATACCGCGAGAGTCGCGTGACTAGCTAGTTAAAACAGACTTTAATATAAATCGTAATTAAAATTAAATCTTTATTAACATAAAAATATTAACCAAATTTTGTTGAAAAAAATATGAATTTAAACAACAATATTTATTTTTTAAACGAAAATTGTATAAACAATTTGTAAGTTATTTCATAACTGTATTTGGTCATAAACACATAAACTATGTTATTTTTTTTTTGTAAATTAAACCGAAAATGTTTATAGTTAACATTTAAATGTTTTCAAATTAACGAAATATTAAAAAAAATATTAAGGAATATTTCGTCTATAAAAATTATTTAAATATCAACACGATTAATAAAACGAAATATTAGTAATAACGTAAAGTAAATGTTACATTTCAACATCAAATAAAAACAATTTTAACCAGTTTTAACTAAAACAGGATAAGTTAAATTTTGAACTTTGCGTTACTTGTTACGAAAAAAACTTCTGAATTACTTCCTGGCTGTTACCGAAAATTTAAAAAAAATCATAATAATATACAAACAATTTGAAATGATTTTTTTCCATAAATTATTAGTTACGTGTTTGTTGTAAGTACTGGTTGTGACCGCAAAAAAGGGATATGAGGCGTGAAGCCATTTGTCGGCTTATTGTAAGACATCATTTTGCTACATAAGTTAACCACTATTTAAAAAATAACATTTGTTTATTAATATATGTAAACACGGTAGATGGTTTAATTTTATAAAAATATACTTTCATCGTGTTCGTAGTGTGTGTATGAGGGGAAGCATAAGAATCGCGCTAACTTCTTCACTCCTTACCAATAAAAGCTGATGCGCTTAGAAGTCCCTTATGCTCACTGCCGAGGTCCAGCTCACATTCCGCTGCCGTGATGACGTAGCTGATGCCCACAGATTCCATTGACACGTTCAGGAGTATCAGCCCGCATGTTAATAACACGAAATTGTTGAACTTTCCGTGACCTGGTCACAAAGAGAAAACGTTAAACCCGTTACACCATTAATCCGAGTACAATAAAAAAATACTGTGTGAAATAATTAAATTCGCTTCCAAATTAAGATCGAAAATCTATCAGCAAGCCACCATAATGCTTAGTACACATTTTACCAGGATATTAGCGATCAAAATTCGCGCTGACATTCAACTGTCAAAATGTAAATGCTAAATCATGCCAGTGATATCATGCCAGCGCAACTGTCAGACTGTATTGGTATAATGTAAACCAAGCATAAATGCACTAAGTATGTCAGTAAAACTAAATATGTTATGACTAGTTTAGAGGCTATTTGCATTACGTTAACATTTGATGGGTAGGAAATATACGTCCTTGACTGCACTTACACTTCTAATACGAATAGAAAGATACTGCACTTTTCTAAAGCTATGGGAGATCAGAAGTGGATACATAATTCATTACCAGTCTATTATCTGAGTAAATTAATTTCTATAACTGGATAGGATTATTATTAACACAACTTGACATTCCCTTGACAATTTGCGCGTGATTATTAGTAAAAAAACATTAATCATAACTAATTACTACGTTTATAATCGTTAGCATTGGATTTTATTACGTTTTAAAGAAATTATCGGAATTTGATTAACAATTATAATGCATATGGTAGTAAATTGAAGGTTTCTTTAAAGAGTTACTAGATGGCGCTGTTCTAAAGTTCATTTACTTCTGTTCAGAAACTGTACAAAACATTACACAGGTGCGCTGCAAGTATTTCCAAAAGTTTTTTGCTCGGGTCTTCGAGTAAAGTTTTATCAGATGTCCCGGTTTTGCTCAGGTAGACGTCAGTTATTTGTTATATTCTGACAGAGCTTTCAATACGCAAACATTGAAATTGTCTTTGTTTTTTATTATTTCTGATGAAAGTATTATAAATATTGAACGATTTACAAGAGTTCACAGTTCCTTATTGCCTCAGTTCACAATAATTGTGATAAAAAGAAAACAGTTATTACTTTATTGTTTACTAAAGAGTTTTGTTTTTACGAGAACAATAACAGAATCAAGAAAATACATAAATTTTAATTATAAGCATTAGAAAGGAAAACATTTGTAATCTTTTTAATTTTGTTATTTTAAGATAACTAATGTATAACTAAATTGTGTTTATATTGATAGTTGTTACAACAGACGTATCTACACTAAGGGATTGTTAAGTCCTAATGATTAACCTTTGACTTGAAGCATGAATTATTTTAGGGCAATATCAGTTACAATCTAATTTATTATTTGGTTAAAATCAATTTCTTTTAAATTTTTAATTAACACGCAAAACATCGTTATCATCCACTTGCCCTTATCCCTTACCGAGGGCCGGTACAGTATGCGTTGCTCTTCCATACATCTCTATCAGCCGTCATATTTTAATCCAATCACTTCTTAAGCATATCCTCTTTGACACAATCCATCCATATTTTCATTATTTAAGTAACATTAATTAACTTGCAAAACATACAAAGAATAACTACAAGATATATTTACTAAATCGATATTACAAGTAAGATTGTTAAAAATAAAATGAGTGTAAAATACAACAATAAAAAAATAACTTATAATAAAGCGTAAACACACACTTCTTTGTTGCCTAAGATGTCAGCAATTACAGCATATTTTTGAATAATTCTTTTTTTTAATAAAAAGCCCTACACGCTTTAGGCTGTATTTTTTCACGCCATTAAACTTAGGGGGTAAATATTTTGGATAAAACCCTAATGCGGGAAAGAGACCATAAGTTGCTACAAACATCAAGAAAGAAAGGTTGCCAAGGTTTGTCACATCATGTCATTTTGATATTGATAATTTGACAAATGTAAACAATAAAATACAATTTTCATAATTTCATGCGGTTGAAGCCAAGGAACAGCTAGTTTAACGATAAAATTAAATTCGGCGGCAAATTGGTTGAGAATCACTGGTCTCACAATTGACATAGCATTAAAAAAATATAAAAAAAGTTTTACCTGTCAGTTCAACCGCATCTTCGAAAGTTGCTTCTATTTTTTTCTTTGCAACACTTTCAGGATCTGTGCCAGCTTTTATCTGTGCTGCTAAATTCCCCATTTCTATATACCAATATTAAATTACTATATTAATAAACTCCAATATATCCAAAACAACTTCTCTTCTAGAACTAATCGCTGAATTATTGGAATATCAGAACATAAATGTCCAATCTATTGACAGACTAAAATATTCTATAACTAATTATTTTCTTCTGTACATTAGTAAACAGACTTTTATTTTTGTACCCACAAAATATTTAAAAATCAAATCGGCATAAAACTTCAACAGTTTTATCTCCGAATTTTAAACCATTCTATTCACTCGCGTTAATAATTCATTATTGGGGACATTTTAATCTTTTATTAAACGCAGACGTCCGCGTCGCGTGGGATCCCGAAAGCAACTGGACTAATTATAGGGTTGTACGAATTGGGAAGACGTTAACTAGTGCATTCAGTATCTGAAAATTTCATCTTAATGAACCCAGAAAAAAACGAAGGCGATTAACTCACCTCACGCTCGCAACCTTAACGAAGACTTGAGTATAAAAATTAGCACGCTTTTAGATGCATAAAAATAATATAAAATGCGTTTTAAACTGAGCACAGTAAAAGCTATACATTGTCACTTTATAGTGACTATTCTATTTACATTGACGTAGCGGGGATTTAACAATCTGTGATAAATGTTTTCGATCTCATTATTTACGAAAGAATTATTCGCGGGGCACTGCCGCGCCGCGCCTTCTTTGCCATGTGATTGAAGTTTTACAGTTAATTATTCATATTAATTTGATGTTTAAACTACTACTGCGTAGTTTTACAACTATGTTTACGTATTTATTAATCGAAAGCATATTAATCAGACTAATATTATAAATGCGAAAGTTTAGATGGATGGATGTTTCTTAGAGTTTGTAGCCTAAACGGCTGAACAGATTTCGATGAAATTTGGTGTAGATGTAGAAGACATTCTGGAAAGACACATAGGCTATTCACTTTTGTTTTTTTTTAATCTCACGCGGACGGAGTCACCAGCGAAAGCTAGTTCTTAATAATCTTATTATTATCTATGCTAAGATTGAATGTGGATGGCTACAAAGGTAGAGGAAGACCGAAGAAAGTTTGTATGGGTTGTGTGAAAGAGGACATGCTTAAAAAAGGGAGTGGATTTAGATATGAGGGCTAATGGAAATTTTTGGAAGAGCAGCACATACTGTGAACTTCAAATATTAACAAATCTTATGAGTAAATTTTACAAAGAATATCTTAAAATATATCAGTGTTGAAGTGTCAGTGAGAGCGGCAACAAAGCTGTAGAAGTGAGCTGGCCTCAATTCCTGTCACATTGGCCTCAATAGGCACATGTTGATCGCTTATTAGGTTTCCCGGTGTACCAATTTTCATACACCTTAATCATCTATCGAACATTTTCAAGAATACGTAATTAATTTATTTTAAGACAGAATGCCACTGCAATTTTCACTCAGTTGCAAGAGCTAAATTCGGAGTAGCCGATTCTTCGAACTATCCAGGGTGGATTTACAGACTTATCTGCCCTAGGCCAGCAACAACCTCGTAACTCTCAACTCCTTTGATGTTATAATGTCAAGGCACGAGGTTTTTAATTATCATAGTAAATGGTCATAATATAAATATATTCCAATAATAATTCCCAACGAACGTTTACAATAGTACGTTGTACCATAGATAGTACTATACTAGTACATACTACGCGTACTATAGTACATAAGTTAGGTTAAGATGTAAAACGTACCTGTAAATATCTGCTATCCCTAATTTTGTTTGTGTCCGGTACATTTGATTCTTACAATTGTGCTGGAGCCACAAATATGTGGCTATTAATCTGACACTGCGTTAAAACCTTTATTATTTCTAATTTATCGAACACATATTAATTTAGCAAAATAAACAAACACTGCAGTACTGTTGTTACCGTTTTAAGGGCAAGACTTCTACAGCGTTTTTTACAGTCCAGCGCCCTAGGCGGCCGCGCCCTACTCTAACGCCAGAACTACTTTTGAGGTTAACATATGCAATAACCAATGATTACAATACACCGATATTAAAACAACGATTTACAATTCTCACAGCGTTTATAGCAGTTTTATTTATATTATTTTGATACCACAATAGACTTTTCAACGATTGACAGAATGTTTCAAATTTGCTTATCTTGACATAAGGAAGTTTTAATAAAAATGCAAAAATATAATTCGTTCAGCCATATTCAAATTATTCAAGTACATTTTTTTATATTCCTTTTAATTTAATTTGTTATTTATTATTCGTAGATAAGTTATCGACAGTATAAAATTAAATATTATATTTTTATAACTAATTCAGTTTAAACGTTGATTAAAACAGAATAAGAAGTGATTTCGTACACGTGAAGTTCGTTCGTCGTTTTCGCTAAAGTTTCTGCCTTGCAATGTGTTGAGGAATGGTCTGTCCTCGGTATTAACGTCACACAAGCGCCTATTACTTAGTCCTTCATGAGCTTGTCACTTCAAAGGCAACTCATCTGCAGTTCCATTAGTGTTACGGAAGTGGGCGCGGAGGTTAATGATCATCTAGATATTCCCATTGTACGTTAGTCCCTTTCACTTATAAAAAATCATCATTTTTTTCTCTTAATCAGCACCCACCAATAACGAGTACCAATAACTTACTCTGAAAGGCCTGCGTTCGATATAAAGTCGATGTACGCTTAACCGTTCTCAAAAAAGATATATAACCAAAAACCCGTTAAGGTCTCTCAAACGACATGCTTTTTTTTTGTAAAAGTTTTCGTCGTACGGTATTTATAAACAAAAATAAAAAAGATAAAAATACCACAGTTCACCACGGTCATTGATCAAGGGTGACAAAGGTTTATAAATAAACTTTTTTAAAAAACTCAAATTAAACAAAATTATATGTAAATCATGGTCGAGTTTTGATTGTAACATAAACCAGGTTCTGGTGAGCAAATAATTAAAATACTAAATAATAAAAGAACGTGACACTTGCAGATATGTCTTTGATACGTAATGAAGGTCGAATCTTTCGATATCGGAAGTATGATTATTTATAAACTTTTAATTATTAATGGTTATTACATGTAACTATGCTAAAATATTTTTTTCTTATGTACAAATTGATACTGATACTTATGTTATAACGATAAAATGATTTTTAACACTTGAAATAACCTTTGCCCCGCAGCCTACCGATAGTGTCACACACCGTGGAAACATGCCATTAGTCGGATGCAGACGCGGCAAGGGCGGATTCAGCTTTGGCGCCAGGGGGAGGGGGTCACAGGCGTGATCAAGCCAAGAGCTTGACTATGACTATGTACATTTTGTCAAGCACTTGAGCAATCAGCTCAGGGAGGGGTTATGACCCCCATGACCCCTCCCATGGATCCGCCCTTGAGACGCGGTTAGGGGAAAACCCCTATATTTACTACTGCGTCTTACGAGTAATGTACCTTTATTACGTTTCAGAACCGAAGAGATTAGAAAAATGGCAATAGTATATGTAATAATATTATGATAATTTATTACTATGTCCAAGACCGGTTTGAACATTTACGGAGCCCTGGGCGAGATTTTAACTTCGTTCCTTAACTGCAATATAAGCACATGTGAAAACGAAGATATAGCGACTTTTATGCGTCGGTAACGCCCTTTTACGGCGCCCAGGGCGGACGCTCCACCTCTACCTTCAAACGTCCTTAATAAACCGTTTAATGTTTCTGAATTTCAATCCCAATAAACTATGAAACCGTCTTCACGCAATTACAATATTTAATTAAGGTTCCAAATTATCTGATAAAAAAATGTCATAACGCATAAAAAGTTAATACTTATCAGTTAGCAAATATTACATCAGGATAATACCATAAATTAATAAATTTGCATAGAGTTTGCTGTTAATTATATGTATATTTATTATAGAGCAAGGCATAATTAAAATAATATGCGAGATTGATAGCATCTTTATGTTATTGTAATACACCTGTAAAAATGCGTGTAACAGTGGTAGAGCCCGCTTTAACATCTTCGCACGAATGGCTCGGCTCGCACTGTGTACCACGACCACAAGACAAGCGTGAAGTGGGAGCAATTTTTTTTTTTATAACATAAGGTGGCAAACGAGCAAGCGGACACTAGAATCCGCCAAAATGGTGAAGCG